CCCCCCCCCCCCGTCCCTGTTCTGCCTTTGAGAAAGCTTTCCATGTAATAAGTAACAGAGTAGCAGCCAACAGCCAAGCCTACCCCTTGTTTTGCTCTCTGGATCACACAGAGTTACTTTTACTTTCACCAGGCAGAAGCTTAACTTGCAAAAACTACTGTTACAATATTTCCTCACTTGTAAAGCATGCCCTGATTTTCCAGCAGCTGGTTTTTGGGGAAGAGGACCAATATCTGTGAGAAAATATGGAATTATAATTTTCTTTAGCACTCTTTTTTGCGTTTGTAAGCTGCAAGTTTATAAGTTTGAAATTTGTCTATGACTTCCTTTATATTTTTTTTCCAGCTGAAAAATGTATATATAACTCCTAGGTCAGGTGAAGCATATCCTGCATATTAAGAATAGAATATTTTCTTCTGTCCCCATTTCTGCTTTACCAGAGAAGCCAGGCTGACAAAGTAGATCGTTTTGGAGCCTTAAAAAAATACCTACCTTGTGGGGAATTTGAAAAATGTCAAGTCCTGGGGAAAAGGAAAAGGAGAAGATTTACTCTTACCTTCTTGTCAGAAATATAGGGTGTGTGTAGATGAAACGGAGACCCTAAATTGAAGCGGTAGGTTTTTAAAAACATTGCTTCAATTTAGGGCTCTTTAAACCCCCATGTTGTGTACACGCCCAACTTACCTGCCTCTCCAGCAGCAGGGAGGAGAGGGCAAGCTGCTGGCGGGGGCAGTGGCTGGTGCTTCCCTGTGCAGCTACCCCCTCCCCTGGAGGCACCTGCCTGCAGGCACGCAGCTTGGGCAGTCCCGTGGGCTACTGCAGCCATGGAAGGAAGCACCGGGCCCCAGGACAGCTTGTGCAGGTAGGCAGGCCTGGTGGGGGAGAGATCAGACCCCCCCCCCTTGGGTGGAGCCTGCCTTCCTCGGCTACTGCCTGCCTTCAGGACTTCCTGTAGAGCCCCTGAGGTGCACAGAGCCCGGTGTTTTGCTCCACAGCTGGTAGGGCAGCAAACTAAAGCTTCTCTGAGGAGTTTGTTTGCTGTGCCCCAAGTCACTTAAGGCGCATTACACCGCTGAATTTGCAAAAGTATTTAGCCCACTTTAAAGTGTCGTGCACACATGCCTGTCACTTCATCTACACATGGCCATAGAGTGCTTAACTCTTTTAGTTACTAGCCTATAGAGGGAGGGGAGGTGTGACACTTTTCTGATCACATCCATTTTTTCATGAAATATAATATTCTATGAAATTTCAAAACAGAATATACACTTTAAAATTTACAGTCACTTTCCAGCCTTTAATTCCTTAGTGTGATTAAATGAGGGAAAATGAGTTCACTCAAGCTTAGTGAATATGCTACTGTAGAGTCTTCTGTAAGAAAGGATGCAAACTATTTACTGGTGAATGTCTTGAATAATTATTTAGCTATTTTGCTATGTTATATAAAATTTACCTTCTTAGCTGTAGTAACATTAAGAGCAACCTATGTCAGAACCCTGTAAGAATATCCTGAGACTTCTGTTCTCAGGATGCACATCACTTAAATTAGCATGAGTTGTGTGGCCCCTTCATAAAGTGGAGAATAAGTACATTGCAGTAAAATGGCCTGCAGAAATTGTATATTGCAGAGTGTGTCATCAAGGCAGTAGGCAAGTAACACGCACAGAACAATCACTGTATTTTTCCCAGTAATTAAAAGACTGATTATTTCAGTACACCTCACATGCCAGTAAGATTAAATATTATCTCTTGTGTCTAAAAATAAAAGGAATTGTTAATTTATCGTTAGTAGCTGGACCTCTAGTCAGCTTGGCTGATTTGCATTCATGACACCCCTTTCCCATGTTTGAACACCATGCAGTCCAAGTATCTTGGTGATTGCTGCTAATAGTGTCGCTCTCTTGCCTCTGATGGATACAAGGTGGCAGTCTCTTGTGGAAGTTCTAGATGGCTCCTTTCCCCCAGAGAGTATAGAACCTGGTGGATGGTCTGAAAATAGAAGTTTGGAAAATGGAGATCCTTGTAGTTCAAAAGACAGCTTTAAGGATTCCTGAAGGAAAAAGGGCATGCCATTTATGCATGAATATAATGACTTGTTTCTGAGTGGCTGATTTTTCACTACATTAATGATAGCAACCTCAGTAGTAAATAAGGTCCCTATTCATCATTATAACCAAGGCAAAAGCCAAACCAAAAGTATGAGTACTGTAATTCCATTACTGTAACTCCAACGCCTGTGCCTAAGTAGGGACATAGATGCTGTTTTCAAGTGCAAAAGGGGCATGCTATTTTTTTGTAGTCATGGTATTTCTTTCTCTTCTCTTTCCATATCCCCATCTTCTATGGGTTTTTTTTCTGTTCCTTTTTTTTTTTTTAAAGCTACATGATTCCTGACATTGCTTCAGGTAGAGAGATGAGTGATAGCTTTGAAGGAGTGACTGGAAGTGGAAAACTAGAAGGAAAACCTTCGAAGAAGCATAAGAAATCTACCCGTGCTCGTTCACGCCAGGAAAAGTCCAGCAAACCCAAACTGACCATTCTCAATGTGAGTGTACAACCATTTTGTTTTAAACTGAACCTCTGTTTTTGTTATGCCAGGAATAATTCTAATGTTACTTTTTTTATATAGGTTTGCAACACAGGGGATAAGATGGTAGAATGTCAGCTTGAAACGCACAATCACAAAATGGTGACTTTTAAGTTTGATTTAGATGGTGATGCACCAGAAGAAATTGCTACTTACATGGTATGGACTTATTTGTGCTGAAGTTTTTATAAGTTTCTTAAAATATTGAGCTGCCCAGGTTTGTTAATACTGCAAAAAAAAATGCATCAGATATAAAATCAAGGTTCCCAAGTGAGCTACTCCAATGTTAGAACTGGGGGCCAACTTAAGGCCACACCCATTTTAATTCTGGCGTTTCTTAAGTTCTAAGAGCTTGACTTCACAACTTTGTGTCCCATTTTGAGCCTAATTTCGAAAGTTTTCAAAAAGCAATCTGCAAAAAAATAAAATATCCATCACATAGCATCATATTGATGCTCACATGTATCATCAGTGGACTTGAACTATTTAGTTCCACCAGACGGAGCTCTGCCTTTTGAGCGGACATTAACTGACAAAGGATGCCAAAGTACTGATGTTGTGGGGATTGGCATTAGAACACATTTGCAGGTGTTTTGCACATGTTGCACATGGCAGAGGAATATGAAACTCAGAAATTTGGGGGTTCTTTCCAGGTTCTGGAATAGTGAGCTCAAGTGAGCACTGATTTTTTTCTTCCCCAGCTGATATGCACCACATCCCCTTTATCCTGTCTTTGTTCTAGCCATGTTTTCCCCACTTCTTGTTCCTTGTCCCTGGTCCATTCTCACTGGGCCCATCCTGGTCCCTATTTCTCTACCTTCCCACCTGGGCATATTAAAAAACAGTCTTGGTCTCCTTATTTAGCAAGTATTAATCTCACCACTCCAATTACCCACCATCCATCCATTTGTCTGTCCATGTTTCCTGTTCCTACTAGGTCCCTGGCCAAATCTCCCTCCCATACTCCTTGCACAGTGTCAGTAGCATTCCAGTTGCTTGTCCCATCTCTTTGCCAAGCCAGTTCTAATTCTTGCATTATATCTAAAATGCCTTGTCAAATATGTCTTCTCTCTCTGCCTTCTTTCTGCCATGATAAAAAGATACTCGAAATGAAATTGCACCCCAAATAGGTAGCTTGGTGACATAAGCATCAGAAAACGGTGTGCTGCCAAATCTGATTAAAAGTTGAAAGGTAAAGAGCAATTGTAACTGTTGTGGATGCTGCTGGCAGGTAAGAAACCAGAAATATAATTTAACTAAGCCATGGATGTATTGAGTAACACATCTGGGAGTTATCTAGCAATAACTTGTCTGCTGCGAATCATTTTTAAATCTTTTCTGTCTAGAAGAATACTGTCATCACCAACATCCAAAACTGTTGCCTTGTCCTACCACCCTCTGTAGGATCACGCCAGATGCTCATCACATAAGGGCACCAGCCCTGTTCCCTGCCTTCTGCAAGCAATGCCTTCTATCCTACTCTGAGTCCTGGTTTATCAGGTGTTCAGTGATACTGAACACTTGTCTACACTAGGTACTTTCCAGTTTGTGACAAAATGAATTTTACAGCTTAAACTACTCACCAGGTCTCTGAGGAAGGCAAAAAACTCATTCCCCTTCCCAGAGCAGTCTACCAGGGAAGGAAAAATCCCTTCTCAGTCCTATAAAGATATCTAGTATGAAGACTACATAAAGGCCAGCCCCTCCTTTCCTCCTCCCCACCCCCTCCCAAAAAAAGCAACAAAAACCTAAGTTTACCCTAATGTCAAAGTGCGGAATGAGGAGGAGCACAGCATAGCATAGTACTTCAGGTAGGAAGAAGGGCATACAATATGGAAACCAAATTCAAGTCACAAAGTCCCTGCCTGTGGGGATGGAATGAGGGGGCAGGAGAGGAAGGTACAGACCTTCTTTCCTGCTGATTCAGCCACAACCCTTCCACTTCCAGGCTGAGGGCCAGGGAAGCATTGTTTCTGTAATGCCACTGATGATGCGATATGATTTAATGCTATTTTGGATTGTAGGTGTAATGGACTTGATTTTTCACACTGATTGTGAGCTGTCATGATTCTAGATGAAATCAGTGGAAGCTGTGGGGCTCAAGCAGCCTAACAGTGAGGCTCTGTGTTTTAATAGCTAAAGAGTTTCAGGTTTTTATCTGCATTTCAGCAAAGTGTTTCTTATTATGGGATGAGAAGCTAGAAGACTTTGAATCGAGGGTTCTAGGCTTATAAAACTGCTCATTTTTTGTGATTGGAATGAATTCTTGTTGACCAGAAACCAGATAAGAATATCCTCTTTTTATATTGTAGTTACCATGATAAATGGTGCATGATGTTTGTCAACAGGTATAAACTTTCAGTTAGCTGAGACCATAGAACGAATATTAACAAATACGTTGTCATTACAGCATTTTTCTTTAATGTGTTCTTACAGGTAGAGAATGAATTCATTTTGCAGACTGAAAAAGAAACATTCATTGAACAGATGAAAGATATCATTGATAAAGCAGAAGATATGCTTAGTGAAGATACAGAAGGAGAACGAAGTTCTGATCAGGGAACAAGTCCCCAGCAGGATGCCTACAGACTGGAAATGGATGAGGTGTAAACAGTGTTCCGTAAATGATTTCTAGTTGTTGAATCCAATTTTTTTTAACATCTAATTATGGTCTTTTGAATTAGGTTTATACACTTTTCTGTAAAAGGGGTCTTAGTTGAAAAAGATCATTTTGCTTTTATTTGGTTAACATGTGTAACACAATGTATCTTTAGAAAAATGTTCCTGCATTAATCCATGTCTATGACCAGTTTATTCGTTCTTTTTTTAATAGGAAAAACGGCAATATCAAGTGAAGACACCTGTGTATCAACAGAATGGTAAAAGTGCCTTTAAGTACAAATTTCATCTTGAACTGTTAAGACAGTGACTTGTATAATATCAGACAGTCCAGAAGTTTTTAATAGTCTCAAGAAAACATGCATCAATTACAGGCGACTGGGAATGTGCCTAGAAAATGTAGGTGTTAATAGAAGCCATGGTTTCCATCGACAGCCTTTAAGTTCCAAACTGTTAGGTGAAACCAATATATGGGCACCCAGGAAAGGTGTGAATTTCACTGACTGACCAATGGTGCCTGCCCCCCTCTCCCCCCATAGGAGTGGTGATTGAGAATGAATAGCTGCAGCTTTCATATAGTGTACTCTGTTCCACCTCATAAGTATATTTGCTAGGGGGAATTGAGAGATTGGATTTGCCAGTCCTGATGGTGGCAGATTTGAGCTGAATTTGTTAACGTATAGGTTTTGGCCATCTCTCCATTAGCAATGGAAAGCCCTGTCCTTCTGCATACATATGTATTTCATCACTTTCACAGAAAGAAAATGTCAGCATTGGCTTTCACTCACTCTGCTATTGCAAAGAGCTTTCTTCCAAATGTCATGTCACCATGTGTTGTGTGCCTTTCTGTTCTCTGAACTGAAGGTGTGGGGAGGGTTATACATGTCTGGGAATTAATGGCATTGCTTTGGCAAGTGCAGGAAAATGGTGCCCCTCCTAAAAGTAGGTTTTGTGCTTGGCCGCTCTTAGATATTGAATGTTTGCTAGTCAGTTTTAAAATGTCACTTTTGGATGTCAGTTTGTAAATAGTTAACAAAATGTCATAGTTTGAGGGGGGGTGGTTTGTGTGTAAAATATGACAGAAAATGCTGAGTCCAACAGAAGCCATTATTTTTGATCATAGAATCAATGAGTGGGAAGGGACCTAGACAGATCATTGAGTCTGACCCCCTGCCATGGGCAGGAAGGAGCACTGGGGGTGGCAGGGGTCATAAGATCCCAGCCAGGTGCCTATCCAGTCTCTTCTTGAAGATTTCCAGGGAAGGTGAGAGCACCACCTCTCTGGGAAGCCTATTCCAGGCTTTGGCCCCCCTTACAGTGAAGTAGTTCTTCCTAATATCTAACCTAAACCTATCCTCCCTCAGCTTGTGGCCATTGTTCCTGGTGACTCCAAGGGGGGCCCTGGTGAAACACTTTCCCTGTGTCCCTGCTGCTGGCCCCTGATAAGGTTGCTGGCAGCCACAAGATCCCCCCTCAGTCTCCTCTTGTGGAGACTGAAGAGATTCAGGTCCCTCAGCCTCTCCTCATAGGGCTGGCCATGGAGGCCCTCAACAATCTCCATTATTCTGGTAGAAACTCAATTTTTCCCGTAAAACGTGGGAGATTGAGTAGCTTTTGACATGTAGTTTAGATAGGTGAAAGTGAATGAACTTTGTAGCTTCTACACATCAATGTTTATCCTTTACTTTTCTCTTCGTGACTAGTTTTACACACTGGGAAAAGATGGTTTATTATATGCCCGGTTGTGGAAAATCCCACTGCTGAAGTACCAGAGTTCTCTCCACCAGTTCCTCAGAGCACACAACAGCCTGAAGGTCCAGGTAATTACGAATTTTAAAAGCTTCTGTTTCTCCAGGGTATGCAAGATCTCAGTCTGCCCTTGTTTTCCCAAAGACTGTTGTTTCCTCTCTCCTGCTTTTACTGTTGTTATTTTATATTAGCTGGAATATTGGTAGGAAGAGGGTAAAATATACCTTCTATTAATGTTACTCCACATGCTGGCCAGTAAAGGATGTCAAAGTTGCAAGCAGTGGTTGGTACTTCTCTGACTTCCTTGCACCACAAGCTGCTGTGATACACCAGTCCAGTGTGTGGTAATTGGATGCATTAGTTTCAAAATGGAAATACTGTACATTGATTTTTTCAGTTGTTAACCAAGGCTTCTGTGTTCTACTTGATAACTGGGTCAGACAAATGACTGCAATACATTTCTTCTAAAATCTGTACGTAAATCAGTGAAATATAGTAAATCTGCAAAAAATAATGATGTTTCTCTAAGGTTTGATCTTCATCACCATCACTATCCCGGAAAGCTACAGCCAGGGAAGCTAGGAAAGGGGGAGTGGGGGAGCACTGTAGGGTATGCCTGCTTGGCTGAGGAGTGCATTTACCTCTCTTGTTCAACTATAAAACGACTTTTGGATTTTGGGTAGGAATGAAAAGTTACTAACATCCTTTGGGGTTAAGAACTTTGCACCAAGATGTGCACATTTATACAATTCAAATTTTAAGTACTTTGTTTTAAAAGCAAAAAGTTTATCTGAATTCCCTAATTTGCAGTTTAAGGAGCCATATAGGACATGTACCTTGTTGTTGATCTCACTTTAAGACTGCTGAAATGTAGTTTATAAGCTGTCTATTATTACTGTTAATGGTCTATGAAGTACGAAACAGTTTCCATTTAAAATGGATCTAGATATCCATTACATCCTGTTGAAAGACTTTTTATAGGCTTATGTATTTTTCTTGAACATAAACCAAAATATAAGCATTCTTATACTATACAGAAAAGTCCCAGTATTTAAACTCTGGTTAAGACTAAGTTGAAGTTCTAGTCATAGATGTTTTCAGAGGACTCATCCTTTTGCAAAACTGTTTTTGTTTAGTGTGCAGTTTGAGTTTATTATTAGAATATTGGATTAGTTGTCATTTTGATAGAAAATGTTGAGTAATTTAGCTGCTGAAATTAAACCTAAGAGTGTTTTGCAGTAACTCCTATACAGCACATTCACAATATTGTCTATATAAGGTTAAATTGCTGGTTTTACTTCCTTACAGATGCAGAACAGGCTGACGATCACCCAGTGAACTCTACAGTGACAGATAAATCAAGTATTGTAGCTTATCAGCAGCTTTCTCATCAAACAAGTCTGTGCGACAGTCCCAGTGCAACACCTGTTTCTTTGGCGCAAGTTCCTACTGCGGTGTCTTCAGCAGCTTTACAGACCCAGGCAGAAATTTCAGCTGCGACATTACCAGGGACTGTGCCATATGTGTTAGAGCAGGTTGCTGCTAATACAGGTCAACAAGAATATCCTTCGCTACAGCCAACGATACAGAGTCAGCCCAATACTCCTGCCCACACTGCAGCTTCACTAGAAGAGCCTGCTGACATTCAGCTTGTTCCATTATCCTCCCAACAAACACTACAGCTGAAAGATGAAGACACTTGTATTCCTGATGTGGAGATTTCATGTTGCACTGTTGGGCCACTCAAATCGTCTCAGACAGTCCCTGCCCAGGCGGCAGAACTCTTTCCACTTCCTGTTCTCTCTGATGTGGGAATTTTAGAAAGTCAGCCTGCACCACAAATCCCCCATTTGTCAGAGGCCAGTCAGCCCAGTGTGGTGCAGCATTCCTTTGTGAGCCAGATACTCCCAGTCGCTATTGTTTCTGATTCTCTAAATCTCACAGGATCCCAGCTTCAGAGTCCGACCCAAGTCTCAGGAGCCATGTCCCAGCAACATGTAATGCTGACACAATCCCAGCCAGTCGCCTGCACTGGGGTTGGCATCAGCTTGCTGCAGCAACCCTGTACAGTAGAGTCGGATGGAGAGGGGCCACCCAGGGTTGATTTTGTTGACAACACAATAAAAAGTCTGGATGAGAAATTACGTAATTTACTTTACCAAGAGTATGTTCCAACTTCTGCATCAGCAGGGACACCAGACAGTTCTGTACCATTAGAACAAGCTGACAGTGAGTTTAACCTACCACCTTTTATTGAAGACCAGATTCCCACTCTCATACTAGATTTAAGAGAACCAGGTTATAATGTTTCAGACACCTGCCAGCAAGCTAATACTGCTAAAGACCAATTCGTGTCAGTTGTCCCTGCTGAAATGCCACTGTACCCTGTATTGGCTAGTTGTATGACTGTACCTTGTATACCTGTAAATCCAGCAGACACAGAAACTTCAGCCACACTAAGAAGTGTTGCAGACCAAGTCAAAGAGACAATGGTAGGCTATACAAATACTTTGGTCTATGAGCACTTCTAAAACATTTGTTGTCAAAGCATGTTACTTTTTTGTCTGTACTTTCTGTTTAGTGATTTCCTTCAGAAAACATTTCTTATAATTTTAAGATTGTCAGGTGTATTTTGGCTCTGTTTTGTTGCTAGCCATTCATTTATGAAAGCTAAATTTTGTTTCTTTGGGTTCAGAAATTGGTGTAAGCTCTTGATTTGGTGTCTTTCATTTCAGTCTTGTTTCTGTAGGAGGCAGGCTGAAAAATGTGATATGTTTTTGGTAGTTAAACAATCTATAATAATAACAGGCTTATTTTGTCTGTCCAGAGTACTTTGGTTGTCTTGGCAGCCAGTCGCAATGCTTACTGAAACAGAGTGCAGCTGTGAGAGATGCAGGCGGGCTCTGGGAGGTGTGTGGGTGGGGTGGAGGGTGGAAAAAATATATCAGGTCCCTTGCTTCTCCTGATTTTTCCACCCCCCCCCCCCCCCCCCCCCCCCCCCCCCCC